CAGGGCATCCTCGTACGCACTGCCCGTATCGCCAGCAATCGACAACACCACAGCGACAAACTTCGGCCTTCAAGCTCCCAAGTCACTTCAACGCAAGCAACTCCCACGACAAAGATTCAAACCTCAACGACTCCAACAGGACAACCTGCACAAGGAGCAAGAAACATCGTCAACTGCATGGCAAAGACAACAGATTCCTGCATCACCGAATCACCACTGCACTACTCACCAGAAGAACGACTTGACGAAACCACACCTCGCCGCGAGTCACTTTAGCCAAACCCGACATACGCCGCCATCGCTCAAAGCGAGCCATCCGGAAGAGACACTTGGTTCTTGGACAGTTGCTGCGGACAACACATGTGCTCCTCAGGACGTTTCGTTCAACGCGAGCACCGACTTCAACGAGAAGTCGTCATCACCGTCGCCAATAATCAGAACCTGCGAACAAGACGACAAGGCATAGTACAGCTTCAGTTACGGGAGACGAACGTCGTACTACAAATGTCGAAAGTCCTAATAGCAGAGGGACTCGGCTACAACTTACTGAGCGTTAGTCAGCTGATGGCGAAAGAAATACACCTGGAAGCCGACAGCACCACCCAGGAGTTCAAACTGTACCACGGGAAGGGCGGCCTCTACATCGGAAAGGCGGTTCTGAAGAATAACGTTTTTGTCCTTGACTTCGTCCCAGACCTGGGCACCGTAGACAGCGACGCCATCGTGAACTTCGCCGACTGGACGCACCCTCCAGATCTTGATCCAGACTTCAGCCCGGAAGGCTTCTGGTACTCGCATACCATCCCTGAAGCAGAACGAACACGTGCGTTAGCAACAATTCAACATCCAGCAGCAGCAGAGACAACATCGGCAGCAGCAGAAGCAGCAGAGACAACATCGGCAGCAGCAGAAACATCATCGGCAGTAGCAGAACCATCGTCAGCGACACCAATTCTCGTTGACGAAGCACCACCAACACTCGCACAGCAGCTGAATCCAACTCAACGAGAAGTCCTCAGAAGCGCAAACTTCGTCGCCAGCTTCTACTCCAACTCCGATGCGTATCGACGCTCACCCGGACACCGCGCCTCCGAAGACATCTGGCACGCACGCATGGGACATCCAAGCAACACCGTGTTAAATAATACAATAAGAGCAGGAGTCCTAGATAAGGATTCATTACTACTACCCGACGGCAGAGAACTTCAACGGGCACGAGGAACTTGCCTCACCTGCCCCGAAGCCGACTTACCACATCGACCGTTTACTCCTCACCACAACCCGAGCGCACCCGCGTACGCACCACTCGAGAAGGTGTACAGCGATATTCTCTTCAATCGAGAACCAGGACAAGTTACATATAACTACACGATAACCTTCATCGACGCCGCCACTCGATACGTCTGGCACCTAAACCTACCCAGCCGCGACATGGCACTCGCAGCGTTCGCCGCCTGGCTACCAGTAGCAGAGAGAGAGTCGGGAGCACAGCTGAAAAGCTTCCAGTCAGACGGAGGAGGAGAATACACCTCTCAGCGCTTCAAGCAGTACCTGGCGGAAAGAGGAATCAAGCAGCTCCTCTCCCTTCCCTACGCCCATCAGCAGCAAGGTGTCGCAGAAAGAATGAACAGGACTCTGCAGAACAGCGTGCGCAAACTGCTACGTGGCATGCGGCTACCCAACCACCAGTGGCCTGCAGCAATGGACCACGCTGTCATGCTGCACAACTTGATGTCGTCGTCCTCACTTCCGAACAACGCATCACCGCATCTGCTGTGGACAGGGAAACAGGGCAGCACAAAAATGTTACGAGTTTTCGGGTGCATGGTACAGTACCGACCCCCAGAAGCACGAGCGGGAAGATTTTCACAACGCGCACAATGGGGACTACACCTCGGCATCGAAAAGAATTACAACGCGTGGAAAATCTTCGACGTCCACTCCAAGGAAACAGTAGCAGCACGTGACGTGATCTTCTACGAACGACTCACGCTTCAGACGTACCTCGCCAACTTGCACGAAAATCAGGACCCCACAGGTGGCTTTCGTGGTGACCGAGCCTTTGCCTCAGCAGCGGACGAAGCAGACTGGGACGAGCAGAATGTCGACAACGCATCAGAAGAAGCCGGACCTCTACCGTTCTACTCCGTCAACGTCCCCATGGACGAAGAAAATCATCGCGAAAGCGCCAACGCCGAAGTCTTCTACCACTTCGCCGACAACGGTTACGTAACACCTGCGACAGTCAACACCAACGAAGCAGAACGGATAGGGCCGAATTTCATACCCGACCCAGAAGCGGGAGATGAAGCAGCTTATCCCGAGGACACAACTCTCCACCGCTACTCACAGACTGGACTGCAGATTCTCGGCCTCGTCACCGCAGTCCACGGCAATGCTCTTCCTAAAGAGCCTGCGAAAGTTCAGCAGGCTCTGGGGGGGGAACACAGGGAGAAATGGCGTGAAGCCATGGACAGAGAGTTAAAGGCGCTGGAGGAACGCAACACCTGGAAAGTCGTTCCCGTAAGCGTGGCAAGGAACAAGACCATCCTCACCGGGAAATGGGTCTTCCGCATTAAAACAAAGGCGGACGGTACAATCGAGAAATTCAAAGCACGCTGGGTCGTGCGTGGATTCGACCAGGAACACGGACGGGACTTCACGGAGACATTCGCCCCGGTCAGCCGACATACCTCACTCCGAATTCTTCTCGCGATCGCCGCTATGAAGAAGAAGAAACTGCGACAAATCGATGTCGCCAACGCGTTCCTCTACGCACCCGTCGACGCCGAAATCTTCGTCGAGCTCCCACACGGTACCCACGGGGAACCTAACCAAGTTTGCCAGCTCTTGAAATCGCTCTACGGTATCAAACAAGCCCCGCGGCTGTGGCAACAGCACCTACACACTCGCCTCACTCGCATCGGATTCCGCCAACTACCTCACGACCAAGGAATGTATCGACTCACCAAAAACGCCGACTATATCCTGCTGATCGTCTACGTCGACGACCTAGTCTACATTGGCTCCACCGACGACGTCACCTGGTTCGAAGGGGAGCTGCAGAGGGATCTTACACTCACGGTCTCCTCTACCGTCACTCAGTACCTCGGACTCAACATCCGCGAAGAAGAGAACGCGATCTATCTCAGCGCCGAAAAGTATGCCGACACTATCGCCAAACGCTTCTCGCTCACACCTACCACTATCTCCACGCCATACCGCTACACGGCAGGGAACGACAAAGGAGGTCCCGCTCTACTCAAAACCGCCGGAATACGCGACTACCAGAGGAAGCCGATCACACCGGCGATTCAGACAACAGACGCTCCCGCACTGGCTACATCTACCGCCTCGAACCTATCGGACCTATCTCCTGGCAATCGAGCAAGCAGGAACTAATCGCTCTCTCCTCAGCTGAAGCAGAATATATCGCACTCTGCTCAGCCACCAAGGAAGGACTCTATCTTCGCGAGCTGCTGGAAGAAGCAAAGTTAGCCGAGTTACCCAACTTCAATCTGTTCTGCGACAACCAATCTGCGATTCGCATCGCCAACAAAAGCGGATTCGCGAACAGAACGAAGCATATCGCCCTGCGATATTTCTTCGTGAAAGACGAGATCGAGAAAGGGAAACTCAAACTATCCTATTGTCCCACGTCTGAGATGGCAGCTAACTACTTGACCAAGAAGCTCGGAAAACAGAAGTTCGAGTACTGCATGCTGCTGACTGGACAAAGCCACGTCACCATCAGCGACACTCCAGAAGCGAAGGGGAGTGTTGGGAACAAATAGTCTTAAGCGCCTCTGTCGTGTCGAAACTCAAGACACAAGCGAAGCAGCTCAAATCGAAGCACCGCGAGTCAACCCTCGGAGATTAACGTAACCGCTGGAGGTTACGAGAAAGTCAAAAGGTCAGCGACCTTTGATCTGACGCAGCGCGACAGCAAGGACACACAACTGACTCGACATTGAGCAGTTGCCCGAGTCGCACTCTGTTGAACCGCAACAGTAAAACAGTTACAATTATGTCTCTTCATATTCTCTGTACTCATATATATATTCCTGTATCTCTTTGCTTTAATCAACTTACTTTGCCCTCACATAATAGCGCAAGGTGGTTCAAGGACTTTATTCAAACGCTTCCGCTAATACATCATTTACTCAGACTTTAACTCTACTAAAGATCCTAGGGCGTTCAGCCCAACACGCACCACCGTGCGCGATTCTGGCCTCGGCGGTTGCATGAACCCTCGCCACGCAATTGGCTTTGTTTTCACCCTATCGAGTGCCAAAATTGCCCACTCGAATATGCCACGTGGCAGATTCCAGTGGGCGGTCACGTTATCCTCGTATACTCGGTTTTGCGGCACTGGTCAACAATCTTGAAGTGAAGTCAGACACCTGATTTTTTTTCACATCTTTTGTACTTGATAAAAAATATACCATATAATAAGACCCGGGTATTATGTTGGATTTTCCTTTGAGGAGACCCCCCCCATTTTTTCCCAGTGGTTTTCATAATACCCTAGGGTGTTTTATCTGGGAGAAAACGGTAATGCTAGAATTTCTGATGCATAAGACAGGGGCGGGAAAATTTTCTGATGGGTCAGATCAGACGGGCCCAAAGGACCCGTCTGCACCTCAGGGGGGTTCAGAGACTAGCGAGGGCCCTGGTTACACTGACATATCAGTGTAATAGTAATCATCCAAAAATATACCCAAACACATCAATGTAAGCCCAAATTTTCACTTTTCTAATCAGTGTGGAAAGGTAAATTACACTGAAAACGAGAGCCCTGCCACATTGTCTAATTAAAAAACCCTAACACTAAAATATGCCATATGTAAGGACCCGGGTATTATGTAGCTTTTTCCTATGAGAAGACACCCCCCTTCTTTTTCCTGTATTTTTACATATACCCTAGGGTGTTATGTCTGGGAGAATACGGCAACTTTATGGCGAATGCAGCATTCTGTACTGGTCAAAGTCGTGAATGACTAGACTCTTCTACTACTGGTAACGACAGGAGAGGAACATTGGGTGCGAGGCACTGCATAAGGACAGGCAGATGGGAGGCGAGAGGCCGCATCTCCATCTGTGTGTGTCAGTGATTGGCCAGCAGGTCCCCTTACCATCCCACCACTGCCATCCCATCCCACCTCTGCCACCACCACTGCCACCCCACCCACCACTACCACCGCAAGTGCCACTGCCGTTCCTACCGCTTGCGAGAGTGACTGGGAGCAAGGTGCTGCATGAAGGCAGGCAGGGGAGGCGGCTCCGTCTGAGTGTGAGTGGCCACCAACCCCCCCTGCGGGTGAGCCTGAGCATTCATTCTATCCACCAGGTTCACCCCATCCTTCCTGCTCCCACTGCTGCCGCTCCCACTGCTGCCGCTGCCCTTGCCTGCTGCTTTGAGTCGCCTCACAGCGTCTTGAAAGAGGGACGTCAGCTTTCCTTTGCCCTTCGTTCCCCCGTTCCCCATTGTTGCTTCTCTTGCTGCTGCTGGTGGTTGAGCCGCAAAGGAGCCATGTGGCACAGAGGAGGCATGTGGAAAAGAGGAGGCAGGAGGCAGCGAGGCGGCAGGTGGAAACGAGGAAGCAGGTTGCACAGATGAGGCACGCGGGAAAGAGGGGGCTACTGGCAAAGAGGTGGCAGGTGGGAGAGAGGTGGAAGGTGGAAAAGATGCGACAGGTGGGAGAGAGGTGGAAGGTGGAAAAGATGCGACAGGTGGGAGAGAGGTGGAAGGTGGAAAAGATGCGACAGGTGGGACAGAGGTGGAAGGTGGAAAAGATGCGACAGGTGGGAGAGAGGTGGAAGGTGGAAAAGATGCGACAGGTGGGAGAGAGGTGGAAGGTGGAAAAGATGCGACAGGTGGGAGAGAGGTGGAAGGTGGAAAAGATGCGACAGGTGGGAGAGAGGTGGAAGGTGGAAAAGATGCGACAGGTGGGAGAGAAGTGGAAGGTGGAAAAGATGCGACAGGTGGGAGAGAGGTGGAAGGTGGAAAAGATGCGACAGGTGGGAGAGAGGTGGAAGGAGGCAGCGAGGCGGCAGGTGGAACAGAGGAGGCTGGTTGCACAGATGAGGCACGCGGGAAAGAGGGGGCCGGTTGAAAAGATTCGGCAGGTGGGAGAGAGGTGGAAGGTGGAAACGACGCGGCAGGTGGGAGAGAGGAGGATGGTGGTAGAGAGGCGGCAGGTGGGAGAGAGACGGCAGGTGGTAGAGAGGAGGATGGTGGTAAAGAGGCGGCAGGTGGGAGAGAGGCGGCAGGTGGGAGAGAGGCGGCAGGTGGGAGAGAGGCGGCAGGTGGGAGAGAGGCGGCAGGTGGGAGAGAGGCGGCAGATGGGAGAGAGGCAGTAGGCGGTACAGAGGCAACGTCAGGTCGAGTGGGATGAGGGGACTGAGAGCGCGTGGGTTGAGGTGGAATGGACAGTGAGCGGGGAAAACTCGCATCAGGGTGAGGTTGGGTGAGCTGAGAGTGAGTGGGGTGAGAGTTAGTGGGGTGAGAGTTAGTGGGGTGAGGGCGATGGGGTTGAGGGTGAGAGGAAGCGGGGACTCCGGAGTACTGTGTGGAAGGATCTAATGCTTGGTGCCCATTCCCATGCCCGTGCCCATGCCCATGCCTATTCTCATGCCCTTGCCTGTGCCTATGCTCATGCCTATCGCCATGCTCATTCCCGTGGCCGTGGCCGTGCCCATGCCCATGCTCATTCCCATGCTCATGCCCAGGAGAAGCAGCAGCAGCAGCAGCAGTCACAGAGGCTGCAGCAGAGGGCAGATTCGATGGAGAAACGGCATGGGGCAAATGAGATGGAGAAAGAGCAGAGGCAGCTGCTGCAGCAGGGGGGGAAGCAGCAGCAGCAAGGTGGGCAGCAAGAGGCGACGCAGGGGGAGGGGAAGCAGGAGGATGGGAGGCGGCAGGGGGGGGAGCGGCAGGAGGGAAAGCAGCAGGAGGGGAAGCAGCAGGATGGGAAGCAGCAGGGGGGGAAGTGGCAGGAGGGAAAGCAGCAGGAGGGGAAGCAGCAGGATGGGAAACAGCAGGAGCAGCAACACCAGCAGTGACAGCACCAGCAGCAGTAGCACCAGCAGAGGCAGCACCAGTAACAGCAGCAGCAGCAGCATCAGCAACAACTGCAGAACCAGAACCCCCAGCAGCAGCAGCCCCCCCATGCTCTCCCCCCTCCGCGTGCTCCCCCTGTCTACTCCCCGCCGTCTCCTCATCACTGACCTCCACCTCCGGCCGCGCCTCCCGAAACATTTCCAACGCTGCCCGGGTCACCAGCGGGCAGCGGCGAAGCTTCAACGTGGCGAGGCCCGGGCAGCCCGTGGCGAGGAAAAGAACGGCGGCGTCGGTAATATTCGGGCAGGCGAGGAGGCAGAGCCGGCGGAGCTTCAGGCAGGAGGTGGCGATGCAGGAAGCTTCCTGGTCGCCAATGGAGCGCATGTAGCAGAGAGTGAGGCGGTCGAGATTGGGGCAGCCGGCGGCGAGCTGCTGCAGCGAGGGCAGCGTGCAGGAGCCACCCACTATCACCAGGTCCTGGTGGGTGGGTGGGGGGGGGGGGGGAGGGGGGGAGGGGGGGGGGGGGGAGAGGGGGGGAGGGGGGGGGGGGGGGAGAGGGGAAGGGGGGAAGAAAGAGGATGGTTGGCTCATTCTCCTCCCAGACAAGGGAAGTTGACAAACGAGCCGGTCCTATTATCCCAATGTCTCCAACCCTTACTTGCCTCTCACCAGTTTCCCTTCCCTCCCCTCACCTGCAGCTGGCTGCAGTGCTTGGCAATCGCCGTGAGAGCAACGTCCCCAATGTGCCCCGTCGCCCACCCGTCGATGTGCACCCACCGCAGCTGGGGGCAGCCAGCGGCCACTGCAGCCATGCCATCGTCGGTGCAGTGCGGCGAGTGCACGATGCCCATGAGCTCCAGATGGGGGCACTGGGCGAGGGCGTGCAGAGCGCGGTCGGATAGGAGGGTCTTCTCAACGAGCAGCTGAAGAGGGAAAAGGAGAGTGGAAAATAAGGTGAGTTGAAATATCACTGCAGTGCGAAAAGCAGTAGGAGAGGAGGAGGGAGCACTAGAGGGCGTGACCCCCGACTGGTGCAAAAAGCTCGTCGGCTGTAGATAGGGGGCACACTGGGCGAGGGCGTGCAAAACGTGGTGGGAGAGGAGGGCCTCCTCTTCTCACCCTTTCAACCTCCCCTGAATTTTCTCACCTCCTTTACCTTTCCTCTCCGGCTCACCTGCCTCAACACCGCTGTCTTGTTCCGTGCAACCAGCCCCTCAAGCGCCACGTCCCAGCTGCCCATGTTGCGCCCGAGAATGAGCGTCTCCAAACTCCCCCCACACGCCTCCATGACGGGCTGCCACATGGCGGCATTCCGTTGGTCCTTGAGGCAGAGGCGGCGGATGGAGAGGGTGGTGGGGGGTGAGGCGGGCAGGAGGGGGTGGGTGGTGGAGGGTGCGGGCATGGGCATAGGCTGACCCGCACTGGCACTGGAGGGGGAGGGCAGGTGGAGGGGGGTGAAGGGACGAAGAACACAGAGACAAAGGGTGGGAGGGAGGAAGAGCAGAGGGAGGGAGGCAGGGAAAAGGGAGAGAAGAACGTCAATCATTGATAGAAAGGACGATTCGAGAAGAACGTGTTTATGATGCGTCTCCAGAGGTGTCCCCACACGCCATGTTGAAATCACTTTTGAGAATTCTCGGTTCAATTTTTTGTAGGAAAAGGGAGAGAAGTACAGAGGGAGGGAAGCAGGGGAAAGGGAGAGAAGAACAGAGGGAGGGAAGCAGGGAAAAGGGAGAGAAGAACAGAGGGAGGGAAGCAGGGAAAAGGGAGAGAAGAACAGAGGGAGGGAAGCAGGGAAAAGGGAGAGAAGAACAGAGGGAGGGAAGCAGGGAAAAGGGTGCGGGCATGGGGGAGAGGCTGACTCGCACTGGCACTGGTGGGAGGGGAGGTGAGGGAGGGAGAGGGGAGGGGAAGGGAGAGAAGGAAAGAGGGGAGAGTGGTTTCACATGCACGCAGGAGGGGGTGCGTGGAGGGTGCGGGCATGGGGAGAGGCTGACCCGCACTGGAAATGGTGGGAGGGAGCGAGGGGGTAAAGGAGGGACGGGGTAAAACAGAACAGAGGGTGGGTGGGTGGAACGGGGAGAGAAACTGTGTTTGATGCGCCTGCACAGACATTTCTCCCACGCTCCTCAATGGCACTGGTAATGGGAGGGAAGGTGCGGTGGGAAGGTGCGGAGGGAAGGGAGAAGAGAGTGCGCACGAGCGTGAAATCGTTCAGCTCAGTGCAGTGCAGCAGCAGCGCCGCAATGCCCTTGCCGCCGAAAAGTAACAAGCACTGCACACACCAGGACATACCCCTCTTTTCACGCATCAGCCCCACCCCACCTACCTGTGCACAAGAGTCAGGTCGTTCAGCTCAGTGCAGTGCAGCAGCAGCGCCGCAATGCCCTTGCCGCCGAACCGGTAATTGTCCGCCACAAACTTGTGCAGCCCCGTGCATGAGCGCGCAATTGCCTCCATGCCCGCGTCTGTCACCTGGTGGTAAATACATATCCCACAGGCACAGCAAGGCAGGGAGGAAGGAGGGGGGCAAGTTATCACATGAACCGGTAGTTGTCCGCCATAGCGCAAGTGCGCTATTGCCACACACAAACTTGGGCAGGCAGGCCACTGCACGAGTGCGCTATTGCCTCTTGCCTCCATCCCCGCATCTGTCACCTGGTGGGGATGAATGCAAGAGGAAAGCAAAGCAGTGAGCAGAGAGCACACCAAACCGATGGTTGTCCACCACAGACTTGTGCAGCCACAGACTTGTGCAGTCACAGACTTGTGCAGCCACAAACTTGTGCAGCCACAAACTTGTGCAGCCACAAACTTGTGCAGCCACAAACTTGTGCAGCCACAAACTTGTGCAGCCACAAACTTGTGCAGCGACAAACCTGCCCACGGGTTGTCACCTGCCCACGGGTTGTCACCTGCCCACGGGTTGTCACCTACCCACGGATTGTCACCTACCCACGTGTTGACACCACCTATGGTCAAACCGTCTCAACCAGAGCAGCGGCATACGTCAAGGCAGTAGCGCAGATTGAGCTTCTTGAGGCGCAGCACAGCAGAGAGCGAGCAATGAGCTCTCCAGAAACGAGCCCCGTTTACCTCTTTGCCCATGCGCCACGCTTCCGAAACCCAGCTTCTTCTTTTCATAATTCTAAGAACTGAACTGAACTCAACTCATAGATCCACTTTTTGAGTCGACTCAAAAATCCAAGTCTCATAACTGAACTGAACGCAACTAGATAGATCCACTGGTCACCTGAACTGGACTGGAGAAGCATACCTCGAGTCGAGGCAGTTGCAAGCTATGAGCTCTGGAACAACGGTACACCTCGAGGCAGTTGCGCAGATAGGGCTTCTTGATGTGGGGCAGCGTGCGAGCGAGCCATGAGCCATGAGCCATGAGCTCTGTAGAGGGCATGTGGGGTATCGTACAGCCCGTCCTGTCCCTGCCAGGCCACGCCCCACATGTCCTTCGACTCAAGCCGCCAAACCTTCAGGACAGGAACAGAACAGCGTGCGCACCTCGAGGCAGTTGCGCGGATCCAGCTTCTTCAACTGCGGCAGAGAGCGAGCTATGAGCTGCACACTCGTGTCCCCTATGCTCCTCCTCGCCTAAAGCCTACTTTCTGCACGGCACGCCCAACATATCCCCAGCTGTGAACAAACTGTTTGGCCACCTGGACTGGACAGGAGGGACGTACCTCGAGGCAGTTGCGCAAATCCAACTTCTTGAGGTGGGGCAGAGAGCGAGCTATGAGCTGTAGACTCGTATCCCCTATGCTCCTCGCCGGGTTGGGTTTCCTCCCCATCCCCCCACACACATACCCGCCCGCATACCCCCCCCCTCCGCCTCCGCCTCCGCCTCCCCCCATCTGATGCGCCTGCTGATAGTGATAATACTGGTAGTCCCCCCCCCCGCCTGCCCCGCCCGCGCCCTCTCTTCCGCCGCCGCCCCCCCTCGCGCTGCTGCTTCCAACTTCCCCCGCGGGCGCGAGGAGGGCGGGTGGGGGGTGGTCGCAGCGGAGGGTGAGGCGCTGGAGGGCGGAGAAGCGGAGGAGGAGCGCGGGGAGGAGGGGGGAGAGGTGGAAGGAGGCGCGCAGAGCCATGCGCGTACGAGAGGACGCGTCGAGACTGTAGGGGGAGGGGTGGTGGAGGATGGAGAGGCGTGGGGTGGGGTGGAGAGGGGTGGAGAGGGATGGAGGGAGGTGGAGGGGGGAAGGAGAGGGGTGGAAAAGGGATGAAGAGGGTTGAAAGGGGGAAAGACGACGAGGGAGGGGAATAAGGAAAAGGAGAAAGGGGCACAACGGAACAACGGAACGTTATGGTACTTGTAATGCATTTCAGAAAAAAGAAAACGAGGGTGGGAGGAGGAATGGGGAAGTGGGAGTGGGACGGGGAAAGGAAAGTGGAGAGAGGGTACTTGAAGCTCGTTCAACCATGAAACCCCCTGCAGCAAGTGCATAAGGAAAGCTAGAAAGAGACTTGTTGTTGCCCTTCGTCCTCCCTTTTCCCCCTTCCCAGTGCCCCCTCCCCTCTCCTCCACCCACTCCTCCCCGTTTCTCACTCCTCCCCAGCTATTCAATCTTCCCCAACATTCACTCACACTCCCAAAAAAAAACTCATTCCACCCAATATACTTACTCTCTCCACCGTGGGCACACGAGGGAGCAACGGTTCAGATCAGCCGAGGACAGCTTCCGGAAAATCAGGATCAGGCAATCGTCGGGCACGCTGCTCAGCTCCGTCGGATCCGCCTCTTCCGCCGCTGCTGACGTGTCACCAGATGCGCCTTTCGCGGCGCCATTCGCGGCGCCACGGAAACTCTTCTCCAGCCATGGATGGTCCTCCTCCTCCTCCTTTGCGCTCTCCGCTATCGCGCTTCGAAGGGAAAGCACCTGAGGGAATCGCTGAAGCGGCCGTGCGACGCCGTCGCCCGCTAGCTGTCTAATCGGCGACAAACGCGGCGACAGAAGCGGCGACAGAAGGGTCTCTTCCTGCTGCTGCCGCCGTCTCCCGGCTTCTGGCCTTGATCCGTCCATTGCTAGCTGACGTGGCTCGTCGTAATTGGGTCCAGGGAAGATTCTTATCAAACAAGCCACTTCTGCTCGTGCCGGACCTAGTTGGGTTGAATGGATAGCCCAACTGAAGAAGCCCTAGTTGCTTTGGCAACTAAAAAGCCCAGTCAATCCGACGATCAGTTTCCTACCGAAGTCTTCCTTGGATAACTTCTGAGACTTTTTGAAGTGATTCGGAAAACCCTAACTCGGTCGAAAGGCGTCACGAATGGCCCTGGAAATTATTTTGAGGCGCCTCAAGAACGGACGTCGAGAACTTTTGAGACTAGATAGAATGATTCGATGAAACCTAACTCGGGCGAACGGCGTAAAAAATCAGCCTTGAAAATGTTTGGCTTCAAAGGCGGCGCGATGCCTCGGCAATCGATGAGTTCACCCAAGAATCGCGATGCCTCGGCACTGGAACTGGAATAGAATCCTTCAACTGCATGTATGGCGGGCCCCGATGCGACAAGCAGCTTGAGCGATAAGGCAAATAGGTTCTAGTTAGTTGGGAATGATACGGACTACGTAATTCATTGCAAGCCAACAAACGAGCGAGGAACAGAGAAGACAGACCAAAAGCTACAGTACCAGCTGGTGCAAGCTTTTCTGCCAGGTCCAACACAAGACGTGTTTGTGCCACCACAACCACATCAGACACGAAGAAACCATGAAAAGAAACTGATTTTGTGGCCGCAGAACCGTAGTTACGCACTTCACTAACGCTCTGAACCGTACAGAAGAGCTGTTTTGTTGCCATATCAGACAGGATGGTTGCGAGGTTTGCTCTGTTTTCCCCCCAACCCCCACCGCGCAGAGAGCAGGTCAACGGCTCGTTTGAAACGGTCAAAGACGTTTGATATCAATTTTCGGTTTTTTTTTTCCAGCGCTTTAGACGACTGTGCACCAGACTGAACCGTCTGTAAAAGCTCTGTCGACTTTTCCCCACGCACAGAAGGCACATCCGCCACAAGCGTCTGATCGGATACCAGTTGCGAAAAACGGGGTGGCCGGCTGGCCTCGCCACACGAAAAATCGCTTGTGGCTGGCTCTGTAACGCCAGCCACACGTTACGCGTCACATCCTTCTTACCAGGAAACTCGCTCTACAAAAAAGCATGAAACCGCCCTAGGAATAATTATTATAATACAAATTAGGAAGATGTAACAGCACACATCTTTGCTTAAAAAATTCATCCTGTAGTGCTAATGACAGTCACAAATATTAGTCTCTGGATCATTCCCGTCACATCTTGGTTTGACTTCACGTGTTTCTTCAATAGATTATGACAGTTGTGTCTGCTTGCTATCATCATGAAGTCACGTTAATGACTGCAGTGTTTCAAATTGAATGGTGGTTTTCGCCCATGCAGTATTGTTAGCTGAAGTATCTATAACGAGTATGGTAGCAGTTCCAGCTCTGTTTTCAGAACAATCAGAGGCAGTACAACCTGGTGCGGCGAGCCCACGAGATCTTTCGCACACAACTCACTCACCAAGTACGACTCTCGCACCACCTTGCACCACCCCGCACCATTAGCACCTCACATTACCTGCTCCCCACGGAACCCGCTCAAGGCGCATATGTGACTCGCATCGCGCTCACTCCGCGCGTCGCAGTCACACATAGTACTAATCTAGATGACTTTTCAAAGAGTGGACGACTCCCGTACCACCCGCCGCACCACCCGCTGCTCCACCCGTTTAGCCGCTCACCTCACCCGCCCTTCACGCACCCCGGTTCCGCCAAGATTGAACGTTATATCACTCATTTTTTTCCCAATCGTTTGGCGCGGTTCTGCTCAGTACCCCCCACCGGAGGGAAAGGGGCAGACGCAGGGAAGAACAAGGGTGGGGTGGGGATTTGAAAGAAAGAATAAAGGCGATTTGAGAAGGGAAGGGATTGCAGGGACTGGGAGAATGGGTCGAGACTATGCTTTTCTGGAAGGTAACTTGTGGGAGAGAGAGCAATCTCATTTCCCAATTGATTGGTTGGGGATAGAAAAATGGAGAATGAGCTTGGAAAGGCTCAGACCATTCCCTAGTCCCCTTTGAGGTGCAGCCACCTTCCCGATGTCAAGGAAGGGTGCACAACGATGGGCCTTGCCCATGTGGCAATGGTTGGGATTTCCAACCAATTAGATCATAGACAGCAATGATAACAATGCACACTTATCACAAACCTGGGTTGTTGCACTGGTTGCAATTTCAAGGAAGAGTCGAATTGGATTTAGGTTGGCTGTTTCTGATTGGTTCTATTTCCAACCAGCGGCGGAAGTTCCGTCGACTCACTTTGTGTGAGTATGTTCTGATTGGTTGGACAAGGGTGATTTTGAACTTACGTGGGTTGTTTTCAAACCTATTGCGGAAGTTCTGTCACAATTGTATAGCAGAGTTCTGATTGGCTAGTTTTTCAATCAAGTCAATTCCAACCCAAGTCTCACTTCCATTCAAATTTCAACTAATCATGTTTCCTCACATTTCCCCCTCACAGCTGGTTCGACGTATCGAGACCAGGTGAGGAGACCGAGATGTTACACTCCTCCCCCTCCATTTGGCAATGTCCTCGTTGCCGTGGGGTGCTTCTTAGGACGACTGCTGCGAGCACGACGAACCATATTACGACCAGGGTCAACACCATCCGCTGGTTGTGGGAGTGCTCGTTGAGCCAGGTCTTCCATGTAGGACTGAACCGCAGTATCAGTCAAATGTTCTTTCGGCTCCCAAGAGTTGTATTCAGGCCCATAGCCTTTCCACTTAATGAGGAACTCTCGTATAGTCTTGCGGCCGCGTTGTCGATCACGATGCAAAAGCACTCGTTCGACTTCATAGTACAGTTCCTCCCCTAGGACGATTGTTGGTGGTGGTAAGTACTTGCCTTCCGCAACGTACTTGCTTAACAGAGACACATGGAAGACATTGTGAATCTGAAGGGTATCAGATAGCTTGAGCTTATAAGCTACCGCACCAACTCGTTGAACCACCTCAAAGGTCCTAATCCAGCGAGAGAACAACTTTCTCGCACTAGGGATCTTAAGCCGATATTCTTCGTGCTTAACAAAACCTTGTCTCCAACGGAGAATGAGACTTCCCAGCGTTTCATACTGGCATAGGAGTTTTGCCTTTGTTGGGGTAATTGCAGCCAACGACGTGCCGACTTTAGGGCCTCTCGTTGCTTGCCCACAAAATCCTTTGCGGCCGGTAATTTCAAACCACCGATCCCATGCCTAGCGGGTGTTGTGGGATGCCGACCACAGTTCAGGATAAATGATTTTTTCATGTGTGCTATCATGCACTGAGTTGTTAACCGCAAACTCGACCATGGGTAACAACTCGTCCCAATTGTCATGTGTTGGGCTGATGAAAGAACGAAGCATCTGCTCGTAAGTGCGTTAGTCCGTTCCGTTTGCCCATCTATCTGGGGATGGAACGCTTACGACATCTTAATTTTCGTTCCTAGGGTCTTAGTTACTTCACGCCAGAACCGGCTTATGAAGTGCGGGTCGCGATCAGACAATAATACACGTGGCAATCCGTGCAGACGGAACACATGTGTCACGAACAACCGAGCCGTATCCTCTGCTGACACGTCTGTTGCCGTAAGGCGATCTACAAACACGGGTATCGTCGTATACCCATCACAGGTTCTCGGGAGGTCGGCGATGAAATCCAGTGACGATTTCCCAAGGTTCACTTGGAATTTCAAGTGGTTGAAGCAAACCACCAGGCTTCTGCGTGTCCGGTTTGTTACGTGCGCACGTGTCACAACGTGCCACAAACTGTTGGACATCACTACCGACTCCTGGCCACCAATAGACATCACGTAGGGCCCATCGGGTCTTATTCATGCCCAAATGTCCCCCATACTTAGTGGCATGCACCACTTTCAAAATATCGTTCCGCAGATTGCCTATATGAGGTACCGCAATCTCTTTTGTTTGCCACCAAAGATCGTGTTCCCATGTCAAATGTTTGGTGTTCCGGTTATGGAACCAGGAATCGATATGATATCCTATACGAATTCGTTTTGGAAAACCAATGCACGCGATCTCGGTCACTTTCGCCGCAGCTAGTATGTTAAAACATGCAGCAAAAACAACCGCATGTTTGGTAACGTCAAGCCCGATTGCCGCCCCTATCAGCTGTCTGCTGAGGGGGTCGGCCAGGTTCGTGGAACCTACACGATAACAAATGTCGAAACTGAACCCGTTGAGAAGTTCAGCCCAACGGGCCTAACCGCGAGTGAGGGTAGCTTGGGTAGAAAATTATGTATTCGGACAATGGTTAGTTCTACCCCTTCCAAATAACATCGCCATGTTTTTAGCGCATGTACGACAACCAACAACTCTTGTTCGGTAGTTGTGTAGCGTTGCTCTGCCGCGGAGAGTTTTCTACTTTCAAATGCCACAGGGCGTCCTTCTTGCAGGAGTACTGCACAAAGTCCCACCGTTGATGCGTCCGTAATCACCTCATATGGATTCTGTGGCTTTGGCAACACCAAAACTGGTGTGTTAGTTAATTCATGCTTAACCCCTTCGAAGGCCTTTTGGCACTGCGGGGTCCACTCCCATGCACACCCTTTCCGGGTCAATGCTGTGAGGGGAGTGACTATCGTGGAATAATTTTCCAAGAAGCGACGAAAAAAAACTGCCAGGCCCAAGAATGATCGAACATGGCCAACGTCGCGTGGGACGGGCCACTCCTGGACAGCTGCTACCTTTTTGGGGTCCGCTTTCAACCCGTTATGCCCCACCACGTGCCCCAAATACTCTAGCCAACGTTTGTAAAAATGGCATTTCCACAAACGCACGTAGTATTTATGCTCGCGAAATTTTCCGAGGACCCATTTCAGATGTTCCGTATGCTCGTCTTCGGTCTTTGAGTATACCAGGAAGTCATCAAGGTTCACTAGCACGAACTGGCCAATTGCATCGCAAAACACATCGTTTATCGCCCTTTGGAAAGAGGCCAGAGCGTTGGTCA